AGAGCAAGCTGGGGTCTGCGCAAAGACAAATTCCTAATGCAAGAAATTGTATATGGCCAATAAAGTGGTCTTTTCTAATTATTAAGGCTTATTTGGATATGAAATTAAATGCCTTATGAGACTAGGTGATTCTAGTTTTAAACAATTTTGCAGTACCCAGGGAGCCTTTGCATGGTGAAAGTGCCCTTTGGTAATGCTGTGCTCTTTGTTTTGTTTTCCTCGTGTCTTTGCTAGCTTAAGTTGGAAAGGTGCTGCCTCCCTCTTTTAACCTCGGTTTTCTCATTTCCGCTCCCAGAACCGGAACCCCTCGGTGGCTGTGTACTACACCAACCGGGCCCTTTGCTATGTGAAACTCCAGCAGCATGACAAGGCCCTGGCGGACTGCAAGCACGCCCTGGAGCTGGACAGCCAGTCTGTGAAGGCCCACTTCTTCCTGGGCCAGTGCCACCTGGAGATGGAGAACTACGACGAAGCCATTGGCAACCTGCAGAGAGGTCAGACCCTCCCCCAGCTCCCTTCACTTGGAGTGCCCATTTAAAAATTGAATTAGAAGTTCTGGCTGCTATTGAACGTGTTGTCCGACTGCGTTCTAGGAAGAGTTCAGCTCTTTTTTTCCCCGTTTTGTAAGATACCAAAGTAAACCCTGTTGCTACGCAGAGGCAGACTTGTGTTTTGTGAGCACGTTCCTTGCACTCGGTTGCCCTAAATAAAAGCTGATCTCCGCAAAAACCGGAGTGAAAGCTGCGCCTCTGTGTTGCAGCCTACAACCTGGCGAAGGAACAGCGGCTGAACTTTGGGGACGACATCCCCAGCGCTCTCAGGATAGCCAAGAAGAAGCGCTGGAACAGCATCGAGGAGAAACGCATCAACCAGGAGAACGAGCTCCACGCCTATCTCACCAAGCTCATCCTCGCCGAGAAAGAAAGGTACACGGGCGCAGTTTGCACTTTGCAACCATGAAAGCTGCTGCAGCTTCTTAATTCTCTCCCGATTGCCGATTCCTAGTTCAGACAGTTCCAGGTGTTTCTATATACAACGTTTCATCCACAAAGAACTGTATGCAAGGGCGTAACCTAACTCCATCCACGACTGAAGTGCAGTTCCACCCCAGGTGATATGCTGGTAGCCGTTCTGTACCAGTAGCCCCACTGCGCAGAAGATCAGGGGGAGGAGTGAGAATCTGTCACAAACTGAATTTAGGGGGAGCTCTAGGGCAAGCAGATTATAGAGGCTCTCAGTAGGATTTAGCCAACATGCTTTAATGACTAAAATGCCTTTGTCCTTAAACCTTAAACCTTAAACAGGCCTTTGGTTTAATGTTGCAAATGAAAGACTGCCTACAGCACAGTTTTTCGGTGTTGCTTTGCAAATGCTGGTCCAGAGAGAGAATTTTTACCAGCAACACTTGCAGCAGTTATCCTTGCAGATTTCTCACCCAGTATTAACCAGGCCTAACCTTGCTTATAATAATAATAATTAATAATAATTGCTTACACTTATATAGCGCTTTTCTGGACACTCCACTCAAAGCGCTTTACAGGTAATGGGGACTCCCC